AATGCACAAGCTCTCAACATGTCTTCAAGCACTTAAATAGTCCTTTCAGATTGCCATTAGTTTATGGGTGGTATGTTGTGCTTAATTTCAATTGAGTTCCCATGGCTTTTTGAAAAGATCTCCAAAATCTTGTAGTAAACCTTAGATCTCTATCTGATACAATGCTCATTGGAACTCCATGGAGTCTAATAATCTCCAAAATGTAAAGCTTGGCCAACTTGTCCAGTGGGTCTTTTTGTTTAATGGCCAAAATGTGAGCTGACTTTGTCAATCTATCCACAATCACCCAAATTGAATCAAGTTAACTTCTTGTCCTTGGCAATCCCACAATAATTTCCATTGAAATGGCTTCCCACTTCCACTCTAGTATAAGTAAAGGTTGAGGTTGCCCTCTTAGCTTCTAGTGCTCTACTTTTACCAATTGATAAGTCAAACACTTGGACATATATTTAACCCTATCCTTCTTCATGCTTGTCCACCAAAATGTTTTTTTCAAAACATGATACATCTTGGTAACCCAAGATGGACAGTCTAGTTGGACTTATGGGCCTTTTAGAGTAATTTTTTCTTTAACTCTTCATCATATGGAACACAAATTTTATCTCCAAGTCTTACAATTCCATCATCCAAAATATGAGACTTATTTTAGAGCTCTTCTCATTGTCTTTCACCAACTCCATCAATCTTGAATTTTTTTGTTGTGCTTCCCTAATCCTTGATAATAATGTAGGCCGAACCATCAAGCTAGACATTAGTACATTAGAATTGGGTGGCAAAAATCTGACATTCAAATCTTTGAATTCTCTTAAGAGTTTCCACTCCATCACCATTAAGCTTGCTAAGGTATCAATTGATTTTCTATAAGTGCATCTGCAACCACATTTCTCCTTCTAGGTCAATAGACAATTTTGCATTTATAGTCATTCAAATACTCCACCCATCTTCTTTGTCTTAAGTTAAGCTCTTTTTGTGAAAATAAATATTTTAAGCTTTAGTGATCGGTATGTGCCTCAGACTCTTCTCCATATAAATAGTGCCTCCACAACTTAAGTGCAAAAATTATAGCATCAAGTTCTAGATCATGTGTAAGGTAGTTCTTTTCACGTGTTATCATGCCCCAAAACCCAAATTCGAGGCGCGACAAACGCCGTACACTTGTGAGAGGGTCCCACAAATGCATAAGGCTCGAAACTTTATCATACCACAATTTGATACCACAAAATCTGAAGATAAAATTTTAAAATTTGCTTTGATATCATAAAATCTCCAAATAACATCTAGCTTACAAGATCATGATTTATATCTAAAATCTATGTTCAATTTACAAGATGGCTAGCCTTCTAACTCGTCACTCCCCTCGTTTTTCCTCGTCTTTGACTTTGCTTCCTGAAATGGTGGACAAGGAAAAACTATGAGATAACTCAGTAAGTAAATATGGATAGCCCTTAATTAAACTTATAGCGTGCCAACAAGTATAATCACGAAAAACAGATATGAGTATGGAAATGAAATAGACGTCTCCTCTATAGGTCATGGCCAGTGTTATAAACCTCCCACTAGCAGGCACACGATTTACTAGTGTATAATCCCACTAGCAAGATTATAGAAATACCAGTGTTTAACAACTCCCACTGGCAGGAGAAACCAGCTCTACAGAAATACAGGTCGACATGTGCTAGCATACCTCCCACTGGCGAGCACACGACTAACATGACCATATCAGAGACAAAATAGGCAGAAGTTAACAGGAAAATCATAATTTACAAATAATTTCCAGATCATCAGGGCAGTTAAGTAAATTCTAAGAAGGCATGCTCAAATCAATAAAAAGAATAATAATTTTATTTCAAATCGATCATACTTGTGTAAAACAGGTTTAGTCCCGCCACCACTTCAAAAACAAGCTAAAATATGCTTTAAAATCAGAGGGCGTTACCATAATTTACTTACCTCAATCACATAACATAGAAAATTCACTCCAAGTGTTAGGGTGACAGAACAATCAAGAACCTAACCAAAATATTCCAAAATTAATAACCATATGACCAAACATCTCAATACCATTCTCAGTATAAACTAAACATTTAAACCTTCCTATTATTTGCCATTAGTGCGTGAACAGTCTCGTGAACAATAATTACGTAGTGAACAATAATTGCAACTTCTAAAAATTGATAAAACAATAGCTAATTTCACGAGATTTTTCTCTAAAATCTCATAGTAGTCAATTAACACTCAATCACATAAATTCCACTTGAATTAATGCTTAAATTTGTCCTAATTGCTACCAGAATTCCTCCCCCTATTTTTGCAAAAATTCAGGCAACACAAGCAGCAATTAACTAGACTAAATTCAACAATTAATGGGTAATTTGGAACTTAGATGGAGCTATTACATACCAGAATCTTTCTAGCAGCCAAAACCGGAGATGGCGGGTATGGAGGCTGATGGAGACTGGAGAAGAAATCATGAAAACTACCACAAAATTGCAAGAAACAAAAGGGATTAGAGTGACCCAAGCTAAATTAAAGCTAAAGAGATGAACTTGAAGTTGGTTTTTATCAAAAATCTTGAAGGATTCACACCCAATAGAACAGCGTACAAACAAAGGGGGAGAAACAGAGCAAATCTGAAAATTTTCTACTAGGGGGGGAAGATTTCTAAGTCCTAATTTTGCTCTTTAACAAGAAAAGAAAGGGAAAAAATCAAGTTTTTCTTACCAGTTCTAAAAGGGGAGGTGCAGTCAATGGCTGGGGCTCTTTGTCGGCTGTAAGGGAGAAGAAGAAGAGCAGGATGCGCGGATAAGGAAGAAGGAAGAAGAAAGAAGAAAGAAGAAAAAACTCAACCATTCCTATCTTAATTTCTTTCCACTTTTAAGTCCCTCAAGTTTAGAAATTTTTTCCATTAAGCTCAACAATATTATTTCCTCACAATTAAGTCCCTAACTAAATGCTAAAATATCAAAAAATTTGGAATATTACATTCACCCCTCCTAAAAAGGAGTTTTGTCCCCAAAACTCAAATCTAGGATCATTTCAAGTGGTGAATGGCTTCACATAATCTAAGACAAAACAAATGCCTCACCAACTCTTTATGAACAGAACATTGTCTATTATACTTCCGCTGTGCCATTTTGATATCAAACCACAACTAATCAGAAAAGAAGAACATTAACTACTCAACAGGATTTACCATGAAACAAGCTACTAGAGGCTGGGGTGATATGGGAAGCACAAGGAATAGAAATAAATCTTGCCAAGGCCGGCCACAAAAGAACAATTGTGGGGTTACGCTATGAACCCAACACAAAGATGAGTTGGCAAGGAATGACATGGATTTAAAGATGAGTACAACAAAATTTTGAACTCTATCAAAGACGGATAAGCATCCAATGGATGTACGAATCATGAATGAATGAATGAGTGCATGGATGCCTTATACATTCTGCCACCAAACAAGGTTAACCAATAAGTAAGATCATGTTTAACAAAACAACTGGAATCAAGAGACAGATTTTAGCAATTAATAAGAGTTAAAAGCTAGACCCATCAAATGACATGTGAAATTTCCAAAATAGCATCAGAATGAAATCAGTGGAAAATATGAATGATTGGAATGATACTGGAACATAAGAGTGCAAGGTAGAATCCCTCAAAATATTCAGCAACAAAACGGCATTCACCAAGAATCAAGATCAAATTTAACCAAGCAGTCAAAATTGAGAGACAAGAGTTAACCATGAAACAAGCAATAGAATTCAAGGATTAGGCCCACAAAAGAGATTTCAATAATGACAACCAGAACACAGATTCAAGAGCAAATATAACCAGAATGTCAAGATCTAGAACCCCAAGTAACACGAATTAATTAACAGAATAATCAATAGTGGGGATCAGGATACTTAGAAGATTACTGTCTTCTAATTAAAAGAGCAAACAAAAATCAAAGCAGCCAGATAAAAGAACCATTTCTCTTGGAACAAAACTCTAAGGCATCAGGTACTTCAAAGACTACCCCTTCACCTCGTAGCCTGCAAAGGCTAAGCAAATTTACAATCAAGTCATCCTAGACATCCTAGAGCCAAGTCAAAGCTAAAACATCAAGAATATAGAGTTTAACACTTGCAAGAGACAAGAATTAGGATACCTCATATAGGTATTTTTTAATAATCATCACCCCTCCTGTCCATATGAACAAAATAAGAAATCAAGAAGATCAACAGGTATACTAAAACAAAAACTAGCATAATATGCAAGATTTGAGCAAGAATAGTATATAGAATTTGAGCAAGAGCAAGGGTCAGGACAAGAATGGTTTTCAAGGACAATTCAAAATAGATTCCAAAACCAAATATCAATTGATTTTCAAGAAAAGGATGCTAACATGACTTTACTCCAGGCAAGGTTCAAGATAAGATTCCAAGAACAATGCAAGAATTAATTTCAGACAAGTATTAAGATAATGAGGATTTCAATAATCATTCTCCATTTCCTTTGGATTTCAGTTTCAAGAACAAGTACAAAGCAATCTCAAGAATGATTCAAGATGGATTTCAAGAGTTTCAAGCAATTTTCAGGTATCAAGAATGTAGAGATTAGCAACAATAAAGAGTTTAACTTTATGACAGCTTGCCAATCTTCACAAAAACACAGCAATTTCAATTGAATTGATCATTGTTTTTTATTAACCAATATAGAAAAATGAGCCACATGAAAAGACCATGAAGCTCCAAATGGAAAAAGTGAAATTTCACTATAAGACTTTCAGAAAGATAATGAGCAATGAAATTACCAAGTTATCCAGCTTTTAAAACGCATCTAGAAAACACACAACATTTGCTAAAATAGCCTTGAATCTCTTACAAAGTAGAGGGTTTGCCTATCTTCCACTGGTCATGTGACAAACAGAACAAATTTCTCAACCAGCTATGCTGTAGAGACCAACAGGAACAATAACAAAAGATCTCTGCAACTCCCCAGATTTTACAATTGTGGCAAAAGAGCATACAAAAATTTTATTCAAGTAACAAGTCTAAACAAGTGCAGACTATCAGAAAATGACCAAGTTTCAAAACAAGGTCTTAAGAACATGGCGGACAAGATTAATTTCATGAATCTACACAAGGTATGAAGGCAGGAAACAAGAACAATCAGATTATCATCTCATCAAAATGGATTAGAAAATTCAGGCAACATGAATCAGAATCGTCCCTTATATAACTCCATCACTCATCTCACCACGATTCTAAAATCCATTGGCCAGCCAAGTTCTAAACAAATCCTAGGTATTCAATTAAACCTAGGTATTTAATTAAACCAAAGCTCTAATACCACTCAATCTGATTAAACCTAAGTTCTGATACCACTCAATTTGATTAAACCTGAGCTCTGATACCACTCAATCTGATTAAACCTAAGCTCTGATACCACTTAATTTGTCACATGCCAAGAAATCCAAATCTGAGGGCGTAACAGACGCCGTACACTTGTGAGAAGGTCCCATAAATGCACAAGGCTCATAACTTTATCATACCACAATCTGATACCACAAAATCTGAAGATAAAATTTAAAATTTGCTTTGATATCATAAAATCTCCAAATAACGTCTAGCTCATAAGATCATGATTTATATCTAAAATCTATGTTCAATTTACAAGATGGCTAGCCTTCTAACTCGTCACTCCCCTCATTTTTCCCCATCCTTGACTTTGCTTCCTGAAATGGTGGACAAGGAAAAACTATGAGATAACTCATTAAGTAAATATGGATAGCCCTTAATTAAACTTATAGCGTGCTAACAAGTATAATCACGAAAAACAGATATGAGTACGGAAATGAAATAGACGTCTCCTCTATAAGTCATGGCCAGTGTTCTAAACCTCCCACTGGCAGGCACACAATTTACTAGTGTATAATCCCACTAGTAGGATTATAGAAATACCAATGTTTAACAACTCCCATTGGCAGGAGGAATCGGCTCCACAGAAAGGCAGGTCGACATGTGCTAGCATTTATAAATCTCCCACTAGCGGGCACACGAATAACATGACCATATCGGAGACAAAACAGGCAGAAGTTAACAAGAAAATCATAATTTACAAATAATTTCCAGATCATTAGGGCAGTTAAATAAACTTCAAGAAGGCATGCTCAAATCAATAAAAAGAATAATAATTTCATTTTAAATCGATCATACTTGTGTAAAACGGGTTTAGTCCCACAACCACTTCAAAAACAAGCTAAAATGTGCTTTAAAATCAGAGGGTGTTACCATAATTTACTTACCTCAGTCACATAACATAGAAAATTCACTCCAAGTGCTAGGGTGACAGAACAATCAAGAACCTAACCAAAATATTCCAGAATTAATAACCATATGACCAGACATCTCAATATCATTCTCAGTATAAACTAAACATTTAAACCTTCCTATTATTTGCCATTAGTGCGTGAACAGTACTCGTGAACAGTAACTGCAACTTCCATAAATTGACCAAACAATAGCTAATTTCACAGGATTTTTCTCTAAAATCTCACAGCAGTCAATTAACACTCAATCACATAAATTCCACTTGAATTAATGCTTAAATTTGTCCTAATTGCTACCGGAATTCCTCCCCTTATTTTTGCAAAAATTCAGGCAACACAGGCAGCAATTAACTAGATTAAATTCAACAACTAATGGATAATTTGGGACTTAGATGGAGCTATTACATACCAGAATTTTTCCAGCAACCAAAATCGGAGCTGGCGGGTATGGAGGCCAACGGAGACTAGAGAAGAAATCATGAAAACTACCACAAAATTGCAAGAAACAAAAGGGATTAGAGTGACCCAAGCCAAATTAAAGCTAAAGAGATGAACTTGAAGCTGGTTCTTATCGAAAATCCTGAATGATTCACACCCAATAGAATAGCGGACAGACAAAGGGGGAGAAACAGAGCAAATCTGAAATTTTTTTGCCAGGGGGGAAAGATTTCTAAGTCCTAATTTTTTTCTTTAACAAGAAAAGAAAAGGAAAAAATCAAGTTTTTCTTACCGGTTCTCAAAGGGGAGGTGCAGTTAGTGGCTGGGGCTTTTTGCCAGCTACAAGGGAGAAGAAGAAGAGCAGGATGCGCGGATAAGGAAGAAGAAAGAAAGAAGAAAAAACTCAGCCATCCTTATCCTAATTTCTTTCCTCTTTTAAGTCCCTCAAGTTTAGAAATTTTTGCTATTAAGCTCAACAATATTATTTTCTCACAATTAAGTCCCTAACTAAATGCTAAAATATAAAAAAATTTGGGATATTACATGTGTCTTGAGTTGTCTGGACTCATAAGCTATCACCCGTCCATGTTGCATAAGAACACAACTCAAGCCTTTGTAAGAAGCAATTGTATATACCACAAAGTTTCCTCCACTGTCAAGAGTAACAAGAATTGGCACTATGACAAACCTGTTCTTCAACTCTTGAAAGCTTTGCTCATTTATCTATTCATTCAAAATTATGATTCTTATGAGTAAGTTGTGTTAACAGGCTAGAAATCTTTGAATATCCCTCCACAAATCTTTTATAATATCCTATTAGCCCATGAAAACTCCACACTTCTATGGCACTAGTCATCCTTTCACACTTCATGACTACTCCCACTTGACTAGGATCAACCGATATGCCATCTTTAGAAACAATATGACCTAAAAAACTAATTTGATTCAACCAAAACTCACATTTTTCAAACTTGGCATACATCTTCTTTTCTCTCAAAATCTACTATCATAACCCAATTTTTATCAAGGGTTGAATAATAAAAATTAGAAGCTTATGGACCATTTCGCAAAAAGTGTGAAGCCTGAAGGGCTGAGAGGAATAATTAGCAAAAAGATGTCGTTTTGCTTGTAAGTTGAAATAAAAATAAAGCCTAGGGTTTCGTCGAACCCTAACTTCCCAAAAATCCCAATTTTTCTTGCTTTGCTGCCAACCATCTCCAAAAATTCACAAACTCTTCTTGATTTATCTCTAAATCCACTCGAAGTTTAGATAGATCACAACACATAAGAAGAGATCTTTAGATTTGAAGTCCTTATCAAGAATCGAAGAGGAAGATTTTGAAATTGATTCAACCTAGGAGTCTTAATGTATAAAAGGTATGAATCTAGACTTGAAATGGGGTAGATGTGGAAAGAACTAAGAAATCCCATTCCAAATAGGATTGGGTTGTTATCTTAGGTATTTGGATTGGATATTAGAAGCACATCAAGATTGGGTTTTCACTTTGTCTATAAAAAAGGGGCCTTTGGCTTTATAAGGGGCATTCAAAAAAAAAAAAATTGAGGGAGAAAAGGAAAATTGGAGAGATCGAGAGAGAGAAAGAGAGCAAAAATTCAAAAAAAAGTGCAGAAAATTGAGAAGGAAATTGAAGGGAAAAAGTGGGTAGTCATTGAAGGAGAAGAAAGGGAAATACAGAAGCTTGTATCTAGAACTTCAAGAAAATAAAGTTTGATTTTTCCTATCTTCTTCATATGTGCAATGTTCATAAATTTTTTTCCCTTTTATGTTTTTTTTTTGTTATATATTAATCATTAAGTTGTTGGTTTGGATTTGTCTATAATTTTTTGTGAATTTTCTTATGACCATAATAATAGGAATTTGTTATCAAGATTTATGTGTTTGAAGTGGTTCTATTAATTCATGGTTAAGACTAAGATTTAACATACAATATAGGATGAAATTTCATGGTTACATGTAGGAGACCTTAAATAATATGCAAAATTGGGAAAAAGAAACCCTCTTAGGAAACATGAAGTGGGCTTAGGCATTAGGAAAAAATAGAAACGAAAAGAGCACCAAGGAAAGTGTAGAAAAAAAAAAAAAACAAAAACGAAGAAAAAAAGAAAAATAGAAACGAGAAAAAAAAAAGAGAAAAATAGATATGAAAAAAAGACAATGACGGGGTTTTTCGTTTTTTATGGAAGTTTTTTTTTTTTTTTGGTAATTATTATTTTTGATAAAAATTGAAAAGTTCCCAAATATAAAGTATTTGGTAACCATATTATATGAAACTTGTGGGGTGCCTAACAGCTTTCCCATGTTTAACTGACCCTCCAATCCTAGACAATTTTTACGTAGACTTTAGTGATTTGTCCCACCGCATTTGGATAGATGGCAACTCTATCCATTTTGGCATGTTAACATCTACAATACATTGGCAAGATGCTCCATGTGGCTCTCTTCATCAAGAGAGAAAAAAAAAATATCATCAATAAAGACAATGACAAACCTATCTAGGTACAATTAAAAGATCTTATTCATAAGATCTATGAAAGCTGCAGGGGCATTGGTAAAACCAAACAGCATCACCACGAACTTGTAGTGTCCATATCTACTTCTAAAAGCAATCTTCAGCACATCCTCAGGTTTAATCTTTAGTCGGTAGTAACCCGATCTAAGATCAATTTTGAAAAAGACACAAGCCCCTTGTAATTATCAAACAAATCATCAATTCTTGGCAATGGATACTTTTTTTTAATGGTGACTTGATTCAACTATTTATAGTCAATGCAAAATCTAAGTGAGCATATTTCTTCTTTACAAAAAGAATCAGAGCACCCCAAGGGGAAGTATTAAGTTTGATAAACCCCTTATCAAGAAGCTCTTGTAACTGCGTCTTCAACTCAATTAATTCTACTAAAGCCATTCTATAAGATTGTTGAGATATTGGTGAAGAACCAGGCACAAAGTTTATAGTAAATTCAATCTCCTTATCTGGAGATAAACTAGGCAACTTCTTAAGAAAAACATCAAGAAAATCTTTCACTACTTGAATTCCTTCCACAAACACTTGCTTATCTTTAGACTCAAAAACATATGTCATATATCTATAACATTCATGTAGCAACATTTTATTAGCTTACATGCAAGAAACAAGTGATGGAAATGATCCAACTTTTTCTTCTTCAAATTGAATCACCAGCTGATTAGGAGTAGAAAAGGTAACCACCTTCTCATAACAATCAACCATAACATAATGGGTAGATAACCAGTCCATAGCAAGTCTGACATCAAATTCCACTATACTTAGCAAAATTAGATTGGCAAGCAAGACTTTACCTTCTATCATAACTCTACAAGATTGACATATGGCGCATGATGTTAAAACTTCCTTAGAAGGAGTATTCACCACAAGCACATAGTTAAGGGTCTCAAGCTCCACATGCAAAAATGGCACATACTTGGGGGACACAAATGAGTAGGTAGATCTAGAGTTGATCAACACATAGGCATTCCCAAATGAGATAGGTATTTTACCTTTCATAACAATAAGAGTGTTTCAAGCTTGTTGTTTCATGATAGCAAACACTCTTCCTTGAACCCTTGGCCTATAGTTATCTTGCTTCTTTGACTGCTGATTTGCTACCTTGAGAACTGGGCAATCCTTGATCAAAAGACTATTTTTCCCACATTTGAAACATGCTCCAGTCTACCAATTGCATTCCTTTCCTCCATGGTTCTTACCATACCTCTTGTAAGAATCAAAACCCTGTTTGTTACTTTCAAGAATCTTCCTTTTTCCTTTTTGATCAGACTTTTTGTTGAAAGATTGGTTATTGGTAGCCTTTGCCTTGCTCTTTTGATCCTAAGTCTCCATCTTCTGCTCATCCATATCTTGCTCAATTATCTGAGCTATGGTTAATACCTCATTATAAGTCTTCAATCTTTAAGGAACCACCTTGTTCCTAATGGAACCTTTCAGCCCTTTCTGAAACTTCCTTACCTTCTTAGCTTCATCATTTGCAATGTGAGGAGCAAACTTCATAAGAGAGTTGAACTTAGCCTGATACTCATTA